GGCATAATGGCTCAGTTGAATATTTTATCAGACAGCATGAATCTACACATTACTAGTGCCGTCACTGCTGTATCTATCAGTCTTTCAGTCCTCGTGTTTATTCTTACAATGATGCTTCACATTTTCAATCGATTTAAGAAGAGACTTAGCCTTAACTGTTGCACAGTGAACATGCCACCATTAAGAAATGAAGAGGAAAGGAAGCCACTATTACATGAGGAAGAACTGCATTCTCCAGCAAAGGAAATTATGAGAAGAGAATCCTTGATATTTGATTTTGACTTTTAAGTAGTAATGAAAAATAAAAAATATTGCTATATATTTAGTTGGCTACACATAAAAAATTTTCCCAGTGACAATTTATTGCCCCATGTAATAAGATAATACATTAGTGTTTCATGCTGTTCATTAGGCCATTATTAATTTGTATTAGATTAATATTGATTACATTTTTTAGTTTTCAAAACATAAAAGTCTAGCTACATATTATTATATAGATATCACCAAAATTGGCACTTCTTGATACCATATATACAGCAAATTATTTTTAATTAGTAGCACAAACTACCCATTTAAGTGCAGCAGTATATAGATCTACAGACTTTTAAAATTTAATTTTTTTAAACAAAATTATCTACAAAACTATTTTAAACAGCATATTAAAATAACTATTAAGAATTAAAAGCAAAGTTATTTGAGGCATCATTATGAAATGCTTTAACAGAAGGTGCATAATGCATTGGGATTTTTGAAATAAGGTATAGGTGACTTCATTGAATTATGAATAATTAGTTAGTACCTGCTGATGGTTTTCAGACAATACAGTTCACTGTTGGCGGTGAAACTGTTGAGTGCTGTGACCTTTCATGTTAGAATAGCTTGAAATATTTTAAAAAGTCCTGTGAATTCACTCATTCTGTAAACAGCTAATAGTCGTGAAAATTAGCAGCCACTAAGATGAAATTAGCTCTAATATTTATGGGGTGAAGATTTTTTGTTGTTTGTCATGAGGATATTGTCTGGAAAACCTCAAATGGAATCCATTCCACCTGTAAATGAATGAGTTTATACAGGTAATGCTTAACGAGTGATCACCTTTGGTGGTAAAAAAATTTGTTTTTATGGTCTCCAGAAAATAGACAAAATTGAACAGATGATGTTTAAGGTGTGCTTGGGAGGATGATCCAGTCAGTGAGTGTTTATTGTTTGTCATAAGAGTGAGAAAGATCTTGCTTGTTGTCGTTCCAAACGTACTATCTTCAGCCTCATTGGAGATAAAAAGAAAATACATGAGAATAAATAAGTTTGACAGTTCAATGATAATATTTGATATTTGATAAAATTTGCTTTAGTCAATTTGCTATTTATATGATTGACACCTTTTAAAATGACTAATTTTTGAGATAAACATGCACATAGGTAAAATTTATGTCTGCACTAGCTAAGTCATTCAAATACAAAAAAAAGTGAGAGAGTAATAGAGAGAGAGGAGGAAAATGAGTGAAAGAAAAGAGTGAATAAGAGAAAAATATGAGGAAATAAATGACTACAGTGGAACCTCGCTTAACGACCACCCCTAAGTAACGGCCGTCTATCATATAACGGCCAAATGTCCAGGTCCGGATGCAAACTACACTTACTTGCCTGTTAAAGCAACCCCTGAAGAACGACCACCTCTCTATAGAGATGTTTCCCCGTGGGCGTTAATTGAGGGGTGGAGCCTCGTGTCGGCCATCTTGGTTGGCAAAAAGGCCTATGCGCGCGAGCAAAGCCATGTGTATGCAGGTGTGTTTTTATAACAGCAATGGTGGTATCTTGTTGTATCGTTAACTGTACAAACAGAGCGCAGAAGGGAAATAAGCAGAGGTTTTATAGAATACCAAAAGTGATTCAACATCTAGGAGAACAGACAAAAGATTTGACAGAAAGAAGGTGAGATTAGGCTGCCTGTGTGTTCACAACTGACCTCAGTGGCCTTGTGTTAGCTAGCATTCACTGAGATATGTTTTTATTATGCATTATGGCATGACTGTAGGCGAGCAAAGTGGCTATCTAGAATTAATCGTAAAGACTGGTATCCCAGTGACCATGACAGAGTTTGCTCAGACCATTTCTTATCAGGTTAGAACTGTACTGAGGTTTAGCTTGATCATTCAATGATGATATTACTAGGCAAACCATCATCAGATCATTTAGATCATGACTGGGCTCCAAGCCTAAAGCTAGGATATGATCTTGATTGCACTGATATGTTTAAGACTCGTGAACGTCATGAAAGACTTAAGGCCCGCTGTGAAAGGAGACATGAACTTAATGATGCTAATAGAATGGATTAACCTGATTAACCTGGAAACATGTAATTGTAATACAAAAACTCATATGCATTGAAAAAATCTACCTTTGCTTTTATTACAAACTTCCTCAAATTATTGACATCAAAACTGTGCAGTAACAAATCATGAACCCATCCAGCAGTAACAAACCCTTCTGAATCCAGCATTCCTTTCCATGCCTTATTTATTTTATCATTAATTTCATTATGCTAAATCATTATACCTTTAATGCTTCTCCTGTATATGGACTTGGAGTAGATATCATGTACACTGTTACATCACTCCATGATATGGCTGGCAGTAATTCTGGGCTTTTTTCCCATTCAGAATTTTTTATTGAATAAGGATCCACCTTAAGACCAGTTTTGGACACCTTTTCCTTATAGCGTAGCCTTGCTACTGAGCTTAGTTGCTGTAAGTATCCACTCCACATAGTAGTCTTGCTCACAAACACACCTGCATACACATGGCTTTGCTCGCGCGCATAGGCCTTTTTGCCAACCAAGATGGCCGACACGAGGCTCCACCCCTCAATTAACGCCCACGGGGAAACATCTCTATTGCGTATAACGAGCACTCAAAATGTCCCCAACACAACATAAAGCATTGAGAAAAACTTCTCTTTAACGGCCACGTGGCCACACCCATCACCTAGACCGGATGTTTTCATCATAAAACG